ATTCTACCTACAACACTGTTACTGGCAACACTGTCAGATGTGACGTCAGTGATCACAACAATATATATTCCCTCGATATGGCGTCTATGTTTGTAGTGCTCTTCCACAATAAACGTTTCTATATTGTCTGTGTTTGTTTCATAAAGAAACCCTAACCATTATTAACAGTAATTTCAGGCAATCTGGGCCCTCCCACTATTTAGACAGGAGTAGTGCGCATGGACCACATCCTCAACTCACTAAATCAGCAGGATTCAACTTAACAGGAACATGTCGCTACTCCTCTTCTTTGCTCAATGACCTGATTTCCTGCACTCGATTCCAAACAAATACTTCCCAAGGTTTTATTCTTTTAATCCAGGCTAAGACTGTGAAAGAGTCACTCCAGGAAAACCACTGAATTTGTCTCAGATCATTTCTAATATTATAAGCCAGGCTAGCCCCAATTAAAGCGGCCAATAGCTCCAGTCTTCTGATCATGCATTTATCAACTGGTGCAACACGTACTTTAACTTCGATTATACTGACAACCACCTTCCGCAAGCTTTTGTATCGTAGGAAACACGTAGCGGCAAAAGCTGCTTGGCTGTCATAGCACAAAGTATGTAGTGTAGTCGTCGTTTCTTCCTTTGGCATAATTACAGCCCATCAAGGAATGTCAATGTTTTTCATACAATGAGCTTCATTCAACCATTTTAAAAATTCTTCCTGTATTTCCTCATCCACTTGATGATCCCAGTCTTCTTCAGTTAACCAACTCTTCTGTATCAATGGTTTAGGTATAAATGTAGCAGGTGATGTAATCCCAATAGGGTCAAATACTTTCTGAATCATTGATAAATGAGTTCTTCTTGACAATTTTTTTACGACTGGCAGTTCAATAACTTTGATTCTTATAGTATCAGCTTTCCGATCCCATAAGATTCCTAGTACTGAATTATTAGTAGATTCTAAGAGATTGTGATTATTGTAGTCCTACCCTCTCAGCTCGAATGCAGCTGTTTCAAAAATAGTAGTACTTTCATCAATAAAAAGTTTGACTTCATCTTCATATGTAAGTCCAGTAACAGAATTGTCAACGTAAAAACATTTTCTAATGTTTTTTTCCCCAGAATAATAAGCTACACTTTGACGACACAGTTTTTCAGTTCTGTTTAGTAAGTGTTCAAACACAGCTCCCAGTAAATAAGGGATACGAGTAGTGCCAAACACCATCCGAGCATGTTGGAAAGTCCGCAGACTGCCATTAACATCTGTCCATAGACTTTTAAAAATTCTCGGTCATCAGGGTGTATTCCATGCGAAACCTAAGTAAAAGTCTAGGAATTAGTTCAAAGAGATTGAAACCTTAGTCTAAGTATTGGTTCAATGAAGGATGGCCCATTTGTTTTGCAGATGCATCGAAAACCGGTCTTATACTTGTGGTACTTCCTTATTTGATTATGGGTCGGTGAGATAAATAATGACCACTCTGATCGTCTTGAGTAGGAACTTCTTCAATGATGCTGAATGACATCCATTCTGCAAAAATGTCTTCATATTCCGCGGTTAATTTTGAAACATTCAAGTTCTTGATGACATCGTCCAATCCTTTCCTAGCAATACGAAAATTATTTGGCAGGGGCGGGTGATCTTTTAGCCTTGGTAATCTCACTTCATACATATAATCTTCTCTTATTCAGAGCGTTTCTTCAAAATAATTTTTCGTATCAATTGTTTGGTCTTCTTTTGTTTTTACGGTAATCGGGTCTTCAATTCCAATCAAGTCCAAACGCCAAAGATCTGAAGCAGACACATCTAGGGAGATTACACTGACATTGTCAGTTGCACAACATTCTTCTTTAATGTTCCCCATCTGTGTCCAACCAAGGTATGTTTCAACTGCGACATGGTCGCATTTTAGAATTTTTCGATTACCTGTCAACAACTTTTCTGCACCCCGAGAGACATCTGCACCCACTAGGATATCTATGTTACCATATTCTCTGTCTGTAAGAGAAATATTAAATGTTTCTAATTCTTTGATCCAGGGTCCAGATCAATTGATAGCAGGTAACTGTTCGCAAATAGTTTCTTTGGTACTTCTTGTCTGGGGGGCCGTTTTGAAACCTCACTTCTTATCTATCTTATCTAACGTCACGTCACATGACCTCTTTCTTCTTATCCCGCCAAACTTTTGAGTTATTGCATTGCTTAGTTTTCAGTTATTCCCTTATTACGTTCACTTATTAAATTCTTTACTTTTGGTCCGTTTGTGTTTATTTTTAGTTTTTGGCCCGTTTGTGTTTATTTTACATTTTTTTTAGTTTATGGCCCCTTGGAGTTTATTTTACATTTTTTTCCGTTTATTTTCATCATATTATGGATCTACTTAGAACCTGGCAAAGTGGTTGAAGTCTTTTTTCTAAACGAAAAAATCATGTGAGGAGAGTTTTACCTAAGCAGTGGATTTTTGGTGGAGTTTGCCGAAAAACAGATGAATGTTTTATCTTCAAAATAATTGACAGAGAGGCAACAACCTTATTACTAGCTATTAAAGAAAATATAGAAGAGGGAACGACCATTTTTTCGAACTGTTGGAAAGGATACAACACCCGACAACTGAACGAAGCAAACTATGACCAATTCCAAGTGAATCACTGATATAATTTTGTCGATCCATCAACTGGGGTTCATACTCAACATATAGAACAATTGTGGGTGGGGCTCAGCTAAGTGGAGAAATAAAGTACATAGAGGAACTGCCAGACAACACCTTGATTCATATTTGTGCGATTTTTTACGGCGGCGGGCTCACAGAGAAGAGGACCCATTCCTCGCTATTTTAAATAGCATAAAACAATTTTGCCTTCCAAAATAAATAACACAAAAGGAAGTAAATAATTAAGTGAAAACAATTTGTACATATATTGTTTATAGTGTTGATATTTTTTCATTTCTATGTAAATATGTTCTTTTAAATGTGTTTTTTTATTATTTCATTTTGATGTTTTATATGTACATATCTTCTTAAAGTGTTTTTTTATTATTTCATTAATATATGTTTCGTCAAATAAAAGTATTTTTTTTGTGATTACACCTAAAGTTTCTAGAGACCTTAACTAACATTCTAGTTTGTCTTATGAAGAAGTGAGAACCATATTACCTTTATGTGTAGCCTGATTCAAGACCAAACCCTGTAATTCCCTGATGTAAAGTTGTATCAATAAACCTTACCTACCGAATCTGTTTTTTAATTGTTCAATTAAATTAGGTTAATTCTTTGATATGAAGTTATCTAATCACGTAGAATGCCATCATATTTTTTGAGCCCAAATTTTGGTGGCCTGAACCAAATACTGAAACTTCTCCTCATTTTCCAGTTCCTCACTTTCGTGTTTCTTTTTAAAACTGGCCCAAAAACCTATCCAATCACATAGACTGCTATAATATTTTTTCAGCTCAAGTTTTTCAAGTTTTTGTTCAAGTTGGAGAAATCCAAAACACTTAAACAAACCGAATCACAGTAGCTTAATCTTAAAATTGAGGTTGTTTTTAAAATATACGGCTCCGGAAACATAGGAATACAGCCTTATATCGAATAAATCCGAAAAACTTAAATAAGTCGAAACCCAGTGGCGTAATCTTAAAATGGAGGTCATTTTCGAAATCTACGGTTCTGGAAACATTAGAATATACCCTCATATCGAATAAATCCAGAAAACTTAAACAAGTCGAAACGAGGTGGCGTGTGATCGTAAAAAGGAGGTAATTTTTAAAAACTAGGCACACGACAGCTTAATACTAGACCCTAATAAATCCGAATAGGTACAATTAATCAATAACCGCAAGTGTGACATAAAACCGATTGTATTTTGAAAAACTCTACTTAGGGGAGCATAATAATAATAGACCTTCATATTGTAGGGTAGCGGGGATGGCCCTTATTTAAAAATCAAAAATTCGAAACATTAATTTGAAATGGGAACGGTTGAATTTGACTTTTGAAAAGTTTAATTTGTTTTGGAAAAGGTTGAATTTGACTTGAAAGAGGTTGAATTTGTCTTGGAAATGCTATGTATTCTATAGTTATAAGGGTGAGTTTAAATATTTCGCAAACTATGGGAAATACAATTATCTAACTGAAATAACAATCCCAGTAATGCAGAACCAAACTATTAATTTTATTTCTCTTGATACCGACAGCAAGTGGAAAATATCAAAAACAAGAAACAAAAACACTAGCATGTTGAAATTTCCATTTATATATTTGAATACTTAATAGTTGACCGTTGTATTACTGAGGAAGGAGATGATCCAGGGTGGCGGTGATAATTAGACTAAATAGTGGCAACACTATTTTATTAAAAGCCAACGTTTCGACCCGACTTTGCAAGTCTTCTTCAGGCAGGTGTGTTCAGCAAGGACTTTCACTTGAAACTCAAACTCCTTGCTGAACTCCTTGAAAGTGGAACTCCTTGCTGAACAAACCTGCCTGAAGAAGATCTGCAAAATCGGGTCGAAACGTTGGTTTTTAATAAAATAGTTTTGCCACTATTTAGTCTATTTATGACCGCCAGCCCGGATCATCTCCTTCATTATTATATTTGTTTGTCCCATAGTTTATGAAATGTCTATGTATCTTAAAGATTAAGTATTAAGTAAACCTATACTAAAACCACTCTTTTAAATTAATTTTAAGAAATTTAATTCTAGTCTTTAGGGTTTCGCATTTAGAGTGAAAGAGGACTTTGACATCGTTGGAACAGACTTATTTGTATTATGTGGGCAGGGCAAAATTAATCAATAACCTCTCCCATTGTCAAGTACAAACTGCCATTTTCGAATTAATGTCATTTCTTAAAGTGGAGGAATGTTGTTATCAGGTCTTTTATTGTTGATACACCATATTAGGATACTGAATTTATTATGGACAATTTAGTGAATAAAGGCTTAGACAATGCTGCTTTTTATTGATAACTATTTTTTAGCTTCTAAGTGTTTTTGTTCTTGGATTACTCTTGTTTGTTTATGTTATGGATAAAGTAAGGTCAATCTGAACCTTGATCCTAATGTAATTACTGAGCCGTTGATATGACGGTTCATGCATTGCTACATTTTTTGGGAAGAGAAGTTATAAGTAAGTAATTAAACTATTATTTTATAACAAATACGTTGTTTACTTAATTTTTTTATGGTTCAAGTTAATATTTGCACTTTTCAAGACAGATAAATGTGCAGAATTAAAATGGCCCAGGATGGAAGTCCAAAAGAAACTATTGAGTCTTTGACAAAAGAAGTGGAAATATTGAAGGCTAGACTAGAAGATGAAAGACAAAAACTGAATGATGTTAGTTGTAAGTGTTGAATTGTCTAGTCTCAGAGAAATATTTACTTTTTATGTACATTACCTCTGTTTCTTGTATTTAACTTTTTTTTTTGTTTTTACCCACAGTTAACTTAATCAGTGATTGTTATTGATAATTTCTGTGTTTTTAAATTGAAATTTGGTTTATATTATATTCTATTTCAAATTGTGTTAAATTTAAAGTTACGTAACTGTATTGTAAGTTCTTTAAAATTTTCTAGAATTATTTTAAATGGTTTTTGGCAGTTGTATTTGAATGTAAGAAGTATTCCTGTGTGTTTTTTAAAAATTAATTGATCAGGTAAGAAGGCTGTAGGTGACTACCCTCATTACCTTTGCCTGCTTGTTCTCCTTCCTTCTGTCCATTTATGACTGGTATGTTGATTTGAGTTTTTATTCAAATTCAGGTTCTTGCTCTTGTATCATCAATTCATTGAATGGTCTTTTTTTTCATTAATTTTCTTGTTTTGCTGTTTGTAATGCCTACTGTTAGCATCACTTCTCTTTAGCACTAAATAAATTTCTTTGGTTTGTCACCACTTAGATACATTGTAGTACTTGCCTGGAATTTCAGTGTAATTGATCTTTTTTTTTTTTCCTCTTCAAGAACTTTATTAAGCTATTCTCATTATTAGCCATCATCTGTTTATTAAACAGTATCTAATAATTTAATGCTTATTTTCTTATATACTATTTTTTTCTTTAATATTTATTATAGTCATCTGATTTTATTCATTGTTTGAATTGGTCAATTAGGCCTTTGCACTATGTTGTCTCATATGAAATTGACATTTAAAATATTACTGAAAGATGGGGGAGACTACATAAGAGCCAAGATACTGAACTAATCCAGAAAATATGGAAAGAGGTAAGGATACCTGAGGCTTGGAATGAGGGCCTAATTTGCCCTATCCTAAAAAAAGGCTTTATGGATGAATATAATAATGACAGAGGCATAGCACTCCTTCCGGTTGCTTACAAGATGATGACCATTATCTTACTAAACTTGATATATCCGTATTATGAAAATATAATAGGTGACCACCAAGCTGGATTCAGAAAAGGCAGGAGCACACTATACCAGATCTTCATCCTAAAACTAGTTCTCAAAAAATGATGGGAAGTAGCTCAGGACATTCACCCCCTATTTGTCGATTTCAGAGCAGCCTATGATTCTGTTGACAGAAACTGTCTTTGGAAGATCATGACTGAACTGGGAGGAACCGGGGTAGCTCAGTGTGTAAGCACTGACTTCCAGGTTCGAATCTGGCTAATGACTGTAATTTTTCATCAGCTGTGGATCGACACTGGGGTTAGGAGACTCTTATGGGGCAAACCATAGCAGTAATTAGAAAGTTGCCTGTTTAATGTTTAACAAATTATTTTAGGGGCAGGGTGGCTGAGCGTGTCTGCCATTGCCCGGCAACCTGATATATGAGATAATTTGATTAAAATAATTACGAGTTTGCGTCCCGATGCCAAGAGTCAACTATTAAGTATTCAAATATATAAATAGATATTTCAACATGCTAGTGTTTTTGTTTCTTGTTTTTGATATTTTCCACTTGCTGTCGGTATCAAGAGAAATAAAATTAATAGTTTGGTTCTGCATTACTGGGATTGTTATTTCAGTTAGATAATTGTATTTCCCATAGTTTGCGAAATATTTAAACTCACCCTTATAACTATAGAATACATAGCATTTCCAAGACAAATTCAACCTCTTTCAAGTCAAATTCAACCTTTTCCAAAACAAATTAAACTTTTCAAAAGTCAAATTCAACCGTTCCCATTTCAAATTAATGTTTCGAATTTTTGATTTTTAAATAAGGGCCATCCCCGCTACCCTACAATATGAAGGTCTATTATTATTATGCTCCCCTAAGTAGAGTTTTTCAAAATACAATCGGTTTTATATCACACTTGCGGTTATTGATTAATTGTACCTATTCGGATTTATTAGGGTCTAGTATTAAGCTGTCGTGTGCCTAGTTTTTAAAAATTACCTCCTTTTTACGATCACACACCACCTCGTTTCGACTTGTTTAAGTTTTCTGGATTTATTCGATATGAGGGTATATTCTAATGTTTCCAGAACCGTAGATTTCGAAAATGACCTCCATTTTAAGATTACGCCACTGGGTTTCGACTTATTTAAGTTTTTCGGATTTATTCGATATAAGGCTGTATTCCTATGTTTCCGGAGCCGTAGATTTTAAAAACAACCTCAATTTTAAGATTAAGCTACTAGGGGGTCTTTTAAATCTAGCATTAATCACCGCCCTTAACTCGTGGCCCACGAAAACCCCCATATAGCTTAGAAGGTGAGGAAGGGGAAGACAAATTAAAAAAAAAAAACTGAACTGGGATTTCCCAATAAATTGGTGAGATTGACCAATAAATCGGTGAGATTGACAAAGGTGTGTACAAATAACTCTAAATGTAGTCCTAATACAAGGAGCAGTGTCTGAAGCCTTCAAAATTTGAACAGGCTTACGGTAGGGAGATGGACTATCACCGATGTTCAACTTAGGGCTGGATAAGAACGTCACATGAAAATAGAGGGGTTCACATCGGAATGAATTATAAAATCCCTGAATATGCAGATCATATAGCTGTCCTTGGTAGTAATTAAGAGGACATTGAGATACTCGCTAAGACTCTGACAAGAGAAGTTGGGCAAATCAGGCTACAAGTAAATGAAGACAAAACAAAATATATGATAGTAAGCCGAAAATTCTTTTACAATTACGGAATCCGCAGGAAATCGTATCGAGAGAAGAAAAATCTAAATACCTCAGCTCCACAATAACCACAATGAATGACCAACCTTCAAAAATAGACCAGCATTAGAAGTAAACCGCAAAGCTTTCTTCTCCCTTTCAAAGGTATTGAAATCCTGAAAAAAATCTCAAGGAATCTCAAATTAAGGGTTTTTAATGCTATGATAAAGCCAATTCTATTATATGGCTGCGGGACCTGGACACTAACCAGCACCCTAGAAAAAAGTATTGAAAGATTTGAGAGAAAATCCTCCGCATGATAACTGGAGCGATTTGGGATCAGAGTACTAACACATGGAGAAGAAAAAGCAATATAGAGTTGCTTACAAAAACTTGTCAATCAATATCTCATCATATGAGGGCACAAAGGTTAAGATAGGAGGAGGATCCATCTGGTCGTATAGAAGGTAGTATAGTAGAAGGTCAAATACCATGTGGAAGGCCAAAAAGCAGATGGATAGATAAAATCAACAAAGCTGCAATAGAACTGCATGCAGATAACTGGAAAGAAATAGCCCAAGACAGGCATAAAAGGAGCCGGCTTGCTTGTTAAGGCAGCAAAAGATCTACAAGGTCTTTAATTCAAACAGAAAAAAAAGAACCATAGTGTTCCTCCAGGAAATTTTCAATTTTCAATAATCTTTCCATATTTTCAAAAAAGAGCTCATACTGTTTCTGGAGGGTTTCTTTAATGTCTCTCAACTTATCAATCCCTTGAAGCTTTGGCTTTATTTCTCTGACCTCCTCAATTAGTGGCCTCATTAAGCCTATCATTGTTTTCGCCTTGGTAGCTGGTGATGTCAGTGATGTTGATTCACAATTTGGACATTTCTATTTTTTAATAATTTCTTTTAGGCCTTCTGAGTCCATAGTATCAATTTTAGTACTTTTGATATGAAATAAATAAATGTTGAAATTTTTGGCAGGTTATTTTATTCTTGTCTTCTTGGCTCACAGACTTAGTACAAAACCATTTTAATTTAATTCATTAGTTGTTTTCACTATGGCGAATTAACATTGTTTGAAGCTTACTGATAGTATTCCTTCATAAATGGTGTTGCCATGTGTTAGGAAAAAGTGAGAACTTATTTAAGGTCTAATATTATTTTTAAATCTTGGTTATCCTGCTTTGATGGAATCTTTTATAATTTGTATACTGCATTTCCTAGAATTGACTTGTCATTTAAGTTGAGAAATATAAATAGCCTTGTTAAACTCAATGTATAGTTTTTAAGGATATGTATTATATTTGCCTTTAGTACATGCTTTATGTTATAATGAAATATTAATATAAAATTATATTGAATATTAAATTTTGTTTTACAGTAGCTTCAGTTGGCGAAAGGTTAGAAACAATCAATTTTCAGAACATAAAACCAAGGCGTCTTTTAAAGGGCCATCAAGCTAAAGTTCTATGTTCAGATTGGGCACCTGATAAACGTCACATTGTATCCTCTTCTCAGGTATCATATTAAAAAAAAAAAAAAAAAAAAACTTTGATTCCTATAATGATCATAAATCATAATAATAATAATTTAAAAATTTTCAGTAGTCTCAGATTTTACATGAGTATGATCAGAAATTACTCCATTGTCTAGGTTTTATGTTACAGTTTTTAAAATGTGTAAATATTTTCAAAGGTTCTTTTTTGAGTATTTTAATTTTTAGTCCCTAACCCTGTGCCTGTGGATGCCATGGTAGTACCACATATGCTCATTGTCATCATTGTGCATGCTTGAGATTAACAGTACTTACCCTGGCAACCGGCAACTATTATGTTGTTTGCTATTCGACCAGTTTTCAATCAAATGTTGCATAATTTTTTGTTTTAATGTATACTAATTGGAAATAAGGAGTGTTCAGTACTATTTGTAGTTCGAATTAATGAAATGCAATGGGATTAGGGCAAGAGAGGCATTTTAACACTGTCCAGTTTCTGTAAATTTCATAGTGATAGGACCGATTATAATAGGTACTATCACTACGAAATTTAAATAATTATTGGTCAACATTATGCTTTCTGTGTTCAAGTGTATTGTTAAAAAAATGCATTATTATTAAAGCTCAGCATTCGTATCATACTCAATTGCAAACTTAAAGTATACCTCTGGTAACAATCATTTGGGAATGGATGAAAATATTTTATTCAAGAGAATCAACATTTAAAATTCAAAATATTGATCGTCTGTGTTCCGTCTGACTTTATGTAATAGTTGATTGAGTTCAACTATCCTTGAGTCAAAATTCTTGACTTCTAATTTTTTTATTCCATCTTTGCAACAGTATTGAAATTTCAATTTAAAAACTTAGTTTTAATAAGAAGGTACCGTTTGCTATTCACCAAATCCTTCAATTGAAACAATAAAACATTCTCCAATAAGTTGATTTTATCCAGAAATGATCTTATTTGGCCCCATTTAACCCAGACTAGAGTCATAAGGACTATTTCTTTTGTGGATAATTTGGAAGGAAGATGTTAAAAAATAAGCTGTCTCTTACTCAATTAAAAGAAAATATTGCAGCCAAAGAAATGGTACCAATATCTGAAGCCGTGCTATTGGATATCTTTGGTCAATGTTAAAAGAAGAATATTGTGAACACAGTGGATATCATTTAGACAATATTATTTTTTATAAATGATTTTCTATTCCCATATGTTTAATAAATAATTATTTTCTTTGGAGCAGGGGTCGCCCAGAGAGAGTTTTTATGGCGCAAGTTGCGCCATCAGAATTTTTTTTGGGAGGAGGGCACATTAAGTTTTCAATTTTAAAAGAAATTTTAAACCAGGAAATAAATAAAAAAAAAAAAAAGAACTCAGAGGTTTACATGTATTTAAATAAATATCTAATCCATCTCATTGGCCCAAGAGTCAGTCTTGGCCTCCTCTAGGAGCTTCCATCCACCTTGATCTATTGCCGCTGTCTTCCAGTTTGGTGTAGTATCCTGCTTCCCAGTAGTATACTGGAGTCAGCCACTATGCTATCTATCCATCTTAGCCTGGGTGTGCCTCTCTTTGTGCGGTCAATCCTGTCCTCGAGGACTCTTTTGGGAATATCTTCCTACTCCATTACAGCGGGATACACATGGCTGGCCCAACTCAACCTTCCAAGTTTTATGAATTTGAGGGCATTTAATTCATTATATAGAGTGTATAACTCCCGGTTTCTCCATCTCCTCCAAACTTCTCCTTCTTTCACATGGCTGTATATTCATCACAAAATTTTCCATTCGAATATAAGGAGGCTATTTTCATCAGTCTTTGTCATCATCCATGTTTGTGAGGCCATAGGTCAACACTGGTCTAATCAGTTTTATATAATTTTGTCTTATGTGTAGTTGGCTCTTTAACGATTGGCTGCCGCTATCCTCTTCCCTATTTCCTTCGTCATGACATTGGGCGATGTTACCAGGGATCCGAGTTATGTAAACTTCTGTTCTCTTTGAAATTTATATGGGCCTATTTCTACAAGACTTTCACCTTGCTGAAATCCGTCGTCCTTCACCACCATATATTTAGTTCTTCAGCAAAGCCCAAGATCTGGACACTTCTGTTGACAATAAATAGTTCTCTTGTCTGTACTCCCGAATCCCTTACTGCCCTAAAATTAAAAACATACATGCCAACCCATCTCCTTGTCGCAGACTCTTACTGGTCTGAAACTCGCTTGAGCACTCTCCTTGTATTCTGATGACATTCCTCACATCATGCACGATCATCTTAACAAAGCAGATAAGCTTCCTGGGAATTCCAAATTCTTCAAGTGTCTTGTAAATTTTGGAGCGATTAATGCTACCATACGCATGCATTCTTGAAATATATGAAAAGATGGTAGGTTGTCATGTTATATTCAATTCTCCTCTCTATGATAGTCCTCAGGGAAAAGATTTGGTCTACTGTGGATTTTCCACTTCTAAAGCCAGTCTGGTATTTTCGTACTATTTGTTTGTCAGAGCGACACAATCAATTAAAGAGGATTCCGGAAAGAATTTTATATACTGTTAGTAAGAGCAATATTCCTCTATAATTCTTGCAATGAAGCCTATCGCATTTTTTGTAGATTGGGCAAATTATTCCCTTTTTCCACTCTGTTGGCATCTTTTCAGCAATCCGTATCTGCACCATCAATTTATGAAGGGTCTTATGCAAGTCTTCACCTCCATATTTAAGGCCATCCAAATAACATAAAAAGAATCTAAAAAAGGTAAAAGTAGAAAAACCATACCCTAATCTTCCAGTGTATCAATGGCCTTGCATACAGCCTCTGAAATGCAGAACAACTCTTGTGAGTAAACCAAAACATCAGAAAATATTGCAGTTTGTGTTATAAACCTATAGACTTATATATCCCCTCCCATAAAACTTCCTCCTTCAGCAAATCCGTCGTAATTCATGGTGCTTTTTTATGGAACTCACTTCCTACATCCATGCGTCAATCCTCGTCCACAAATTCCTTCAAACAACTTCTGTTCCAACACCTATTCCACATTCAAATTTCTGCTAACATGTAAAATTACATGCATCTGTACACTATTTAATTTCAATCTATTGCACAATTGAAATAACAATTGACAGTAAATTAGTTTGTATTTTTATTATTATGTCAGGCTAAGACCCATAAATTTGTAACTCTGTTATTATTCTTAAGGGACAGTAGTCCCAGAATAAAATTATTTTTTCATTTAATTTCATACCTGTAGGGCTATCTGGCTACAAGGGTTGCTAAATCTATAAGAATCTCAAATCTAGATGTCAAATACTCCGGATCAGAGTTGAAACAATCTGATCAAGGAGAGAATTTTATAAAATCGTGAACTCAGCAGTGTCATTGACACAATTAGTCAGGAGTGGAATCTAAAGCAATAGATATCAGGCCCTGCCGCTACATATACCACAACAGATTCAACCTCAAACTCAACATCCTACTATTCAACATATACATCATTCTCAACTTAAACATCAAATTCTCATATTTTCCCATCATCAAATACCACATATCATACCAGTTTATTAACCCCTTGTTACTCCTCTGATATCACTTCTTATTAATTAAGTATTCCACCTAGCTCCTTCTTTAAAAAATTCTTAACTAACTTCAAAGAAATCAGTATCAATTCTCCTTTCAAAAGCTAATGGTATTAAAAATCATACTGGTGAACTAACTTCCCAAACCTTATCACTTGACAAAATTGATGTGAACTCAACTAACCTCTAAACAGTTTTTCAAAGTACCGCAATACTTGGGATACCAAACTGACCAATCTCACAGTAGAGCACCACATGCCGCTACTGCTGTCATTGTTCATCAGCCTCTTTCTCATCATCTATTCCCTAAGCCTATTCATGATTTCCTATAAGCCACCGCTGTAGTTATCAAGACTTGCTGCTATTCACTCACACTTGCTCAACATATTGCCCTCTGAACCAATCCCTATCCAATATACAGTTCAGTCTCCTCCTCGATTCCTTATGACATCATCTCATTCTAGGTGCAGATTTAAACACCAAACATCAACAATCTTGTTCTAGAACCACGAATTCACATGGACAAATACTGAATTCAAATCGTTCAACGTTCTTTCCCCCAGCTCTCCTACCTACTTCCCCATGATATCAAGATATCCATGATTCAAAAGAGCTGCTTAGGCCCCTAAATTACATGTCTAATTGAACTCTGTTCTGATCATAGACCTCTTCAAGTTTTACTAGTTCTCTTCAAGTTTTACTAGCTCACATTCCCAAACCTTTTCCACCATTTTTCATTAGAAGTCTAGTTGGCTGGAACCTCTTTTAGTAATCCTTTCTGACAAAAATGATCTTAGATATCCTTTACTAGTATTATCCAACAAGCTGTCTGGACTGCCTCCTCCCCAATCAAGTTTTCAGAATTCTTGATGAAAATACTTTACCTCAACATTTATTACTGTATCTGATGCATTATAACGCCATGCCAGATCATTATGGCAACATACCAGACATACTACTGATCGCAGTTCCTACAACTATTACTGAAAACAATTGAAGCTGAAAGTAGCCACCTATAGATTCCAATCCTTAATTCATACCTGTCCTCCCATTTTGCATGTGACAATTCACTGTGTATAATTAATAAAGAAATTCTAAAATCCTATCAAACTTCCCTATCACCTCCAATGAGATTAAGCTTCTGAATTGAGGAGGAAATCGGGATAGACAGGGATAGGAGGGGTAAAAGTATTATACTCTATTCGGTCTTCATCTTCTTGTACGCCTTCTACGTCCGTTGGTCTTTCAAATGTGGGTCGCATGTGACTACTACTGATGTTACTTGTTGATTGTAATTGCCTAATATAAGTGCTTTTAATATTCTCAAGATACAATATTATATCTACTATCTTTTAAACTAACATTGATATAACATCTTATAGAGATATATATGAATTATATTAGAGAGGGGGAAATAATATCTTTTTGAGGGCATGC